AATCCAGCCTAGAAGTAACAAATACATGAATTAGTTTTTATGCATCCGTCTGTCACAGGATGTGTCTAATTTTTGTAATATTGCGTAAATGAAAAAAGGCAGTCCTGGAGGTCTGCTTTTATTTTTATTAATAAATAAATAATTTATTTAGATTAATGTATTCTCTAATAATAAATTTGGCATCATGTTTCAACACCACATTTCCAACAGAATTACAAATTTACAAACTATAAAGACTGACAGAGCCAGAGAGTAGTAGCTACTGTATGAACTTGCATCTTTTCACATCTTTCCATTCCAATGCCTTCCCCTCAGTTATCTGATGTTGTAACGTCCTGGCCCTGGCAGGTAGATGGTTGAGGAGGGTGTCCCCTTGTGTCTGAATTTGTCCCTGCATTGTGCTTCAGCCTGCTGGTACTGGGTTGAGTTTAAAGCTGTTAAAGGAAGTGGTAATGTTGTCAGTGGTAATAAAAAGCCAGCAGTTGCAGCACTGCTGTTAATCCTGGTACTAGCAGTCCTTCACTTTACCCAAACCTGTGACCCCTTTTTTCCAGTTGACATCAACAAACTGAAGGCTCCCACACATCCTGGAAAACCTGTTGTTTTAATGCTTTGAATTTGCTCAAAAAGTGTTCTGGAAATTAATGAATTGGATTTTTATGTGCAGATAAAGGTTTTTATTGCATTGACCAATATACCTCTTGGTATCTTGAAAAAGGTTTTCTTAAAATGAGTGGGAATCCTGAAATCTTTCCAGTAGAGAATAACGACATTCATCTTTCATCCTTCCTCTGGTTTCTATTTTGATCAACTGTGTTGTGAAATACACAAAATGAATGCAGTCGCACACTCTGTGCTTTGTCCTGTCTGTTCTATGCTAGCACTAACCATCACACATACAGTACAAAGATGAGTATCCTGCACCCACACGTTCACACAGTCTAACCAACTAGTATTGCTTGGTGTGTAAATGACAGGACGGAACGTGCATACATTTTCACCTTTGCTCAGAGTGTAGTGTGTATTACACTGTTAGTATGGATCCTGCTTCCCCTCAGCACAGACTGTGCCGAAGTGAATAGAGTCTTCACATTGAGCATGGTACACATGGTCCATCTGAGCCTTATTCCATGTTTTGGAATCCATCATTCACTGTAAAAAGTGAATTAAAATGAAAGCTCTGTTGAAACTGATACATCAAACATTTTAAGTAAAACTAACCTAGTTTTGTAATTTTTATGTATACTGTAAAAACACCTAGTAAAACGTACTTGATCAAAGACTGAATTTGTGTTACGTAAAATGTTCAATGTAATCTGTTTCAACTATTTTTCTATGTTAAAATAACTAAAATAATGAAATTTTAGAAATGTTGTTACCAGTGATACCTCTTTGACAAAAATATTACATTATAACCAGTACTATCAGATAACTACCATCTCAGTACTGTAGGTTCAATTAAAAAAAAGCCTGAGGCAATCTAACTTCCTGCTTCCTGTTTCCCATGTTTCAACACTCTTTTTAAATTGCTTCATTCTGACCTGTGGCTTGACCTGCAAGTAATGGCTCAGGGACTTCCGAGGATCTATTCTGGAAGCTAGATGCTCTGCAGACCTTCATCAGAGATCTACACTGGCCGGAGGAAGAGTTTGGCAAACACCTGGAGACCCGACTGAAGCTGATGTCCAGTGACATGATTGAATCCTGTGTAAAACGGTAACATGCTGTTTAAATGTTGCTTTTAAGTGTCTTATTGCAAGTATATAGCAGTTAATCATTTGTATTATATTCTGGTAGTAACATGTTGTAAACTGGGTTGCATCAAGTTCCTGTGAGCCATGAAATACTATGCATGAAGTCCAATTTGATATCCATGAATTTGAAAGCTTATCAGATCCTGAACCGCACCACAATAGTTTATAACAGACCCCACAAGGGGTCGCCAAAGCTTAAAGGGTTGGTCACAAGGCCTTCTTGATTTTAAGGGGTGTAAGAAAACTAAAATACATGAAACCACTTGTTCATAATACTCTGAACCAGGATGGCAGCAATTATTTTATAGAGGGAGAAAATGCCAGGTGATTACTACTACACAAAAGCAGGTATGAGAAAATCCAAAAACAGGTGCTTAGATGAAGGATGTATCATGAGACCAAAAATAAAGTGAGGTTACATTTTTATGTTTGCCAATCTTAAAGATATTGATGCCTTGTGAGAATCTACATATTTTTGTACATCCCCATTTATTGAATACACCTGTGATAATTATCCAGCAGCCTTGCTATATATGTGAGCTGCGATTTGGTTTTTACATGCCCTGGTGTAACGTCCATTATTAAAGACTGTTTAATTTGTGCAAGGGATGTGCCTCAGTATGCTTTGGGTATGAGTTATTGTTCACAGAGCAAAATACAAGTCTAATCTTTCTTATTTTTTGTCCAGCAATCATTTTACGATTGCAAGGTAAACAGTAGAAATATGGCATTCATGCTACAAAAAAAAAGTGAGATTAAATGTCTTAGATCAGCCAATGCACCTTCTTGGCAGATGCCATTATATTGCAGGTTATAGATATTTAGATATAGTTCCCTTATGCTACTTTTAAAAACAAAATAAAAATGAATTAATGAGTCATAGAAAACACTACTTTGTGTCATTGATTGTTGAGGATATTGTGGTAAAGTAAGTAAATAACAGCTTGAAATGGAAATATTCAAGTTCGAGTACCTTATAACTGTAGTTCCACCATTGGCTATAGCTACCATTGATTACACCGAGTTTTTGTTGTTGTTGTTGTTTTTTCATAATTTGGGGTTTACATTATACAATTAAAAAAAACGAAATGCTTGCTGGGAAATTAATATACTAAATATATTTAAATTTGACTTCTTGAGGGGCTCAGTATTTCTCCACCAAAATGTCCTATCTAAAATTCTGGCTACATTCCTTTCCTTCTCTAAAGGACACGGGCAGCGTTCGAGGCCAAGCTTCAGAAGAGCAGCCGGGCCACAGACTTTCGTGTGCCGCAGTCCATCTGCACCATGTTCAACGTCATGGTGGATGCCAAGGCCCAGTCAGCCAAGCTGTGTGCCATGGACCTGGGGCAGGAGGTAGGAGACACTGAATACGCCATGGAAACTAATTTCTTTAAAAGAGTGGGAGGTCTGTTTAAATCGTTTAAAGGTAGGCAGTTGACTTCATACAGCTTCCCAGTTTAAATCTCATATAATTTAAAGGTCACTATGTTTTGGAGCTGAATGAAAATAAATTAATTTTGTTTGTACTGTGAATGGCATAGACAAATAAAGGTGCGAAAGTCCTTTTTTTATTTTTTTCCCCTCCGTTTTGTCCTACTTGAAAACAGCTTTATTTCTTTCTTTGTCTCTTACTTCTTTTGCAGTTTTCACATAATTTTACATGTTCCATGTCACCTCTATCTTTCTGCTTTTCTTTTTTTCCCTCCTCTGTCTCTTGTGAAAGTTTGTTAGACACTGGGTAAGTGTGGCTATGAATTCAATTGAAATCTCACCCTCCGGTTCCCAAATGTATAATTAGTCATCAGTTTTCCCTGTCTGTCTTCCTCCACTTGAATTGTTTGGATTTCATTAGCATATGTGTAGATAGTATTGAATATACATGGGGTAGAAGTGAGAGATGTCATATTTCGCAGAATCTCGAGACTGATACCAATTACTGACGATGAATTAATTATGGCTAAGTCCTTCGCTGTTCTGTTGGTGCTACAAGGCTAAACAAAAGGATTCCTCGCAGTGATGCTGCCACTGAGTTTCCATGACAGCAGCTCTTTAGCAGGACTAATCGTTCCAAAGTCCTTCACTGGGCTCTGCTCTCTTTAGAGAACAACCTCGGGTGTCTTGAAAATGGTTATAAAGCACATTTACATGCAACTAAAACTACTATTAAATTATAAATGTAATTCATCAATAAACTAACGCATTCATACACCGATGCACAATCATCGAGAGCAATTTGGGGTTCAGTATCTTGCTCAAGGATAATTCGACATGTGACAGGAAGACCCGGGGATCGAACCTTCTGATTAGGGGAGGACGACCCACTCTGCCACTGTGCCACAGCCGCCCCTATGAGAGTTGTGCTTTGCTGACGTGTTGTTTACCCTAACATCCCTTCTTCTAACACTGTAATCCTCACATCCATACAGTGTACTGCTAAAAATCCTTTAATATTTAAATGAACTGCTTTAAAGGGAACACGGGACATTTTCAACTACAATTTTCACAGTTATGACCATTAGTCCTATCAGTTATGATAGCACTTTCCCCCTGCTTATAGGCTCTGAGCTAAGCTGAGTTTATGTCCTGCATAAATCTATGTACCGGACACAAAGCGATGAGACAGAGCTTCTCATCTGAGCCTCAGTAAAATGAACGTATTTCATAAAATGTTGTAGTGGGATTTCCAGTTGAGAATTCAGAAAACTGGCCTTTTCTTTGACTGTGACACAATTGTCGATGAAATTCTTTTTTCTCTTGGGGGGATAGTTCTCCTTGTCCTATGTACTCATCAGTAACATGTAACTGTGATATTATAACTACGATAGTCAAATTTGCCACATTGGTGCACTTACAGAAGATAATGAATAACAGTCTCATGGCAAAACATTAACTCAAAATAAATGAATAATAAATATGAAATAAATTCAAATAAAAATGTCTAGTGTTTCCCTTTAATGTCACTTCATAGTGGGGTTATAAAGTGTGGGTGAGAAGAGTAACATGTTTTCTTTTCTTCCTCTGTAGAGACAATACCATTCCCAAATTGACAATCTAATTGAAGAGACGGTGAAGGAGATGATAACTCTGCTGGTAGCTAAGGTATAAAATAGAGTGTAAATTTAAATAACATTGCATTTGAAGTAATGGGTAACACATATTGTTGGACAGTCAAATTTCTACAAAGAGACGCAAAACAACCACAGAGAGACTTAAAATGATCATAGTGAGGCATGACAACAAAGACACTAAAAACAACTACAAAGAATCTGAAAACAACCTCAAAGGGACACAAAACATTTATATAGAGACTCAAGAAGACTCAAAGCGCAAAGCAACCACAAAGAGATGCAAAACGACTACAAAGAGACTCAATGACAAAGACACACAGAGATTTGTTCTGCTATCTGGGTTTAAGACAGTTTAAGACAAAACTACAGTGTCATGTGGTAAGAACAGCCATGTAAAGAGAAAGGTACCCAGAACAGAGCCCATAGTGAGGCAATGGTAAATGGACCTGTACTTGCTATAGCGCCTTTCAGTCTTCCGACCACTCAAAGGTGCTTTACACTACATGCCACATTCACCCTTTCACACACATTCACACACCGATGCACAGCATCAAATTTGGGATTCAGTATCTTGCTCAAGGATACTTCGACACATGGCAGGAGGAGCCGGGGATCGAACCGACAACCTTCCGATTAGTGAATGATCTGCTCTGCTTTTGAGCCACAGCCGACCACAAAGAGACACAAAACAACTACTAAGAGACTCAAGGAGACTTAAAATGACGACAAAGAGAGATATAATGACAACAAAATAGACTACTGTGTTAAACACTGGTTACAACTGCAAGAAAGAAGACTTTTGATCGTAATAGACTGTTTGTACTTTCTGTATTTCCATAAGTAAAGTAATTCCATTGCTGCTTTTTTCCTCTCCTCTTTGTTCTCAGTTTGTGGTCATTTTAGAGAGCGTGTTAGCCAAACTCTCCAGATACGACGAGGGAACACTCTTCTCTTCTTTCCTATCTTTCACAGTAAGTAGCACAGATACACTTTCGTTACCATCCTTTACTTGCTGATTTGGAAGTGATAACAATGCAACATTAAAATTAGTAGCTGTTGTAAACATGATAAACTTTGAGCTAGCATACTTGGAATACTTGCAATGAACAATTATAATATGTGTATGCAATGATGATATTCTTCATTTTCACTGCCATTTGCATTCTGTGTTAATATGACTGAATTTAGAAGCTGGAGCTTGAATCACCACCTTAACAAAATAGCTTTTGAATTCAATTTAATAGTGACTAAATCATGCTGTATTTTAGTATTGTGTAGGGAATTGTGTAGGGATGTCCGATAATATCGGCCCTGCATGAACGCCTAACAACAACAACTACGCTAGACTGGTTGGTTGCTAACCGTGGCTAACAAGCAAACACTTTGACCAAAGGCTGAATGATTTTAATAATTAACACAAAATAAGTGCAATGCACCTTAAATATTTTACCCTGCTATGAGCTGTTTCCTTAACCAAACTAACAATTGGCTTAGAATTTACATTAGCACTCCTTCAGGTGCATAATACAATTAAACACATTAACCAAAGCTAGCGCTTAGCTAGCGATTAGGCGCTAGCTAGCGATTAGCGTTAGCGCTCTTTTCAGTATAATACAATGAAAGTTGAAGTTGTTCTCTTATTTTGCACAGACAGTGTTTACATTTGGAAAGCCATGTTGCATTTATGTATGCATCCAGTGGGGGCATCACAATAAAATGAGCATAATGTGTTAATTCCCAAATAGGAAGATATGTTATGTTGTTACCTAACAGTTTTGGTGTAAAAAGCCTGCATATATCGTATGGTTGATTCGGTACC